GTTCTCTTGAGATTGCCCTTGTGTTTAACTTGTTGAGGACATGCCAACTTATTGTTCTCAGCTGCTGCACCACTTCTACATTCCACCAGCCACCTGTGAGGGCAGCTGTGCCAGTTACACCAGCTAAGTGTTCTTACAGCTGGACAGCCTTCTCATCCCTACTGCTGTGGCCACCTTAGGAACGTTCTTTTGTCTCTTGTAATGATTTCCTTATTCCCCTAGTTCCTCCTCTCTCCCTTCTGTTTTTAATAATTACTGAAGTCAGAAGTGCACTTGGTATTTCCATATTGAGAACTTCATATGGAGGATTAGTTAATTAGATATTAGGAGACAAAAGCAGAAAGACAACACTGAAGTAATGTGATAACATCCAGAAGTGGCTACCATCCCTGATAATCAGAATTGCTGCAAAGATTTGGGGGATATTGAAATTAAAAACTCAGGATGTGCCCAATGGTGCAGAGGCTTCATCTGCAACTATTGCTGGTACCTCTGAGTATGTGTGCTGAGCTGAAGCAATATCTGGAAGGAAAAGACAAAAACAAACTCACCTTTTACAATTTGTTGCAATGCTTGCAGTTAGGATGGAGAATCTAAGTGCCCCTTCCTACCTAAAAGCATTTCAGGGATAACTGGACCGAGGCCATGCATGTGCAGGACTCTGCAAGCTGGCTTTTGCTTGGTTGCCCTGTTTTACTCCCTGCTATTTACTCTTATTTCCACTAAGCTAAGATGTATTGAACTCTTTGAATCCATGGTACTTAGCATAGTGTTTCCTGCTTCTTGTACATTTTCTCTACAGCTGTCTACGTGACCTCCTCCCCCTGTCTTTCTTGAGTCATATAAGCAAACTTCATCTCTTGTACGGTACCATTGCACTTTGTCCTGTTTAGTGGTAACATTTCCATTTCCTTAATTGCTTACATTCATTTCTTTTCTTCAGATCGACTTCCTCCATTTCCAGGCTGAGCTGGTTGTGCTGGTACACACTTGTAATTCTATCACTTGGGGACTGAGGCAGGAAGATTTTTAATTTGAGGTCAGTCTGTACTACATAGTGATACTGTCTCAGAAGAACAAACCCACCAGGCAGGCATGGTAGTACATGCCTTTAATCCCAATACTTGGAGGCAGAGGTAGGCCATCTGTCTGATGAGTTCTAGGACAGTCTGTTCTGTATAGCAACTACTAGGGCTACCTGTTCCATGAAAAGAAAGGAAAAAAAAGGAGAGAGAGAGGAAGGAAGGGAGGGAAAGGAAAGACAAAGATAAAGCAGAACCACTTTTTTAAAAAAACTGAGTACAGATTGAATATCTTACATGGAATGCTTAGAACCAAAAATACGTCATGCCAATGGATTTCTCTTTGGGCCCCAGCTCGCAAAAAAAAAAAAAAAAAAAAAAAAAAAAAAAGACATGGAGACTTATTAATTATGAAATCTCAGCCTATAGCTTAGGCTTGTCCCAGTAGCTTTTATAACTTAAATCAACCCATTTCTATTAATCTACATTTTGCTTCATGGCTTTTTACCTCTCTTCCATCTTGCACCTCCGTGTTCTCTCTGTGTCCTCTAGTGTCTCCCATGCCTACCTAGATCCATCTCTTCTCTCTCTGCCCAGAAGTCCCGCCTAACCTCTTCCTGCCTAACTATTGGTCATTTAGCTCTTCATTAAACCAATCAGAAGGTGGCTTGGCAAAGACACACCCTCACAGTGTACAAAAAGATTATTCCATGGCGGTTTCAAATTTCAGTTTCTAGGATTTTTGGAATGTTTGTGCATTTTTACTGGTTGAACATCCAATGTTTTAGTCTTTAGAACTTTTCTGGTTTTAGATTAGGGAGCTGTAAGCCTGGCAGAAGATGTGACCTTTAGGATCGCAGTGGCTGTCCTGGAGTACAGCAGAGTAGATAGGAATGCCACGTTCCCCTCCCTGCAGTTCTTTTTTCTTTCTTTTTTTTAAAGAGTCTCATGTAGCTGAGTCTGGCCTTGAACTGAACTCAGTAGACCCTGACTTCCAACTCCTGGTCTTCATGCCTCAGCCTCCCAAGTGAGTTCTGGGATTACAGACATGTACCCCTCAGCCCCAGCCTTACCTGATTCTGTTCTGTTATTAATCATACCAAGCTGCTGTGAATATTTCTAGCTATCTTTGAAAACTGACCATACAACCTTAATAAACAGTGGTATAGAACACATCATTCTTTAATGGATTCAAATCTTGAGAAAGGTAATAATTTAAAGTGCATGACTATTAACAGAGAAAGTAAATTTCATAATTTTTCCCCTATAGATGTTATAAGTAGTAAAAAAAATACTTGTAATACATGTTAAGAAAACAGCAAACCACTACAGAAGTAAATCCTCAAAAAACACATGAGCTGATATTTCAACAGTTCTATTCATGAAGAAAGAGAAAGGCACAGCCTGAAGGTGGAGATCGAATGAGATAATACCTGCAATGTACTTATCATGCTGTGTGGCATATAAAGAAGGACTTAGCACACATTGGCTGCTGTATTACTATTAATAGTAGTAGGACCCTTTCAGCGAAAGTTTCATTAGCTAGTTTTCTGTTTACCTTTGCCTGTTTTCCCAAGTTGATTATTCTAAAAAATGAGCATGCTAAATATATTGAGTTACACTAGAAAACTATAAACTGTTCTGGTCATTGACTTTTCTTTGTCTTGAGTGGTTTATCCCTCTCTGCCCCAATTCCTCTTAATGATTCCACAGATAAGTTTATGTTCATTACAACATTAAAGTCAGACAGGTGGTGGTGGCACACGCCTTTAATCCCAGCACTCAGAAGGCAGAGGCAGGTGGATCTCTGTTAGTTTGAGGCCAGCCTGTGAGAGCGAGCTCCAGGACAGCCAAGTCTACACGGAGAAATTCTGTCTCAAAAAAAAGAAAAAAGTCATACAAGTCAACATAAAAGATATGAAGGAACCAAGGCATGGCTGAAGTAGGAAGATATAAAAACTAACATTATTCTCCAAAGAAATGCATGATAAAACCACACGAATTTTTTGCTTATCAAAATTAATTTTTTAACTAGAAATAGGAAATTTCCGTTAGTGATGAATGGTAATAGTCTCAAAGTGATGTAATGCATATCCTTTGTGCACCAACTTTTTGTCTTTTTTTTGATACTGAGTTTTCTCAAGTAGCCCAGGTTAGCATTAAACTCACTGTATAATAGTAACTCCCGTTGGCCTCCTCCCTCCCTGGGATTACAGATGTGTGCCTCAAAGCCTGGCTGTTTTGTCATAACTTAACATTTGTACCTCATTTGATTAAGTTCTTCATGGTCCAAAATTTAAGATAGTTGAAAAGCTCAGCTGTTCTTAGTCTTTTCCATATCATAAATGTTCTAAAACAGTACATATTTTTCTGATTATGTTTTTACATAAAAGTCTACATTCTATATGATTTGAATGAAAATACTAGTATTAAATTTGTTAGTATTTTATAATTAAAAATGACTCCATTATCTTATTAAAATTTATAGCTTTTAAAAATTTATCTTAAACTCACATTTGGTTTTAGAAGACACTTTAAAAAACTGAAAAAGATTTAAAACTAAACTGTTGACTTAAAAAAACTCTTCATGCAAACTAATATATTGGAAGCAGTAGTTTTTGTGTGGTTTCATTTCAGATATGCAGTATCTTTAGCAGAATGTTTGAGAGGGGCTGGAACAATTTTAAAAATTTGAAGAAAACAGATCTTAAGAGTTCAGGAAGGATACCTGCTAGGAACCAGTGGCTGCCGCAGACGAGACAGCTGCCTATGGACTAAGGGTGTCTGAATCTGTATCTGTATGTGTACTAGGGGACAACTAATGGGGGGGTGGTGGTGGATGCCTGGATTTCTGGTGTATTTTGAGCACAGATAAATGATGTAATACTTTTAGTTATTATTGAATACCTATGTAAATTTTCTGTAAGACCTTTTAGGATGCCTTGCTAGTGGATAACTGTCACTTTTAAGTCAACTGTTACTTCCTTAAAATCATCATACATGGTGTTGTTTCAAAGGCTATGAACATTTGTAATGCTATAAACAAACAAACAAACAAACAAATAAGTACAGAATTGCTTTCCAAAAGAAATGTGCCTCATTTTATCACCAGAAATGGTTTAATTCCACCTGCAGTTCCTTCTTGCCAGCAGAGTACATTTTATTTTAAAATTTTATACTACCTCACAGAGGGAAAATATGGCACTTTGGCTAGGGATAAGGGGATTACATGGAATAACTTTTCCTTATTCTGTTACTGTGCTGAGTGAGTTTAAGTGACTTTATTTTGTCCTAATTTACTGAGGATATTAATAACTTGCTACCTGATGTACCTTCTTTGAAGGCAGGAAATAACATTCATTTAAAATGTGAAATATTGGTGCTTCACTTTGCTCTATCATTAACTAGTTTCCTTATAGAATCTATTTTAAATTGGCTGAACTTTGGTATTATGTACTTTGATAATGTGATGATTATTTTTAAGTAAGGAAATAAACAGTTTGTTTTCAGAGTACTTCATATTTGTGAAGTTTTTTAATGGCTTACCCACAGAGATTGGCAGATTTTTCTGGAAGTGCTACATGGGTCTTTGTCATATCATCTTTGGGGACCCTTGACTTGTTGGTTTTTGTTTCTTTGGGTGGGGGGGCATTGAGACAGAGTCTCACTATGGAGACTTGGCTGGCCTGAAACTTGCTGTGTAGACATGCTAGCCTTGAACTCACAGAGATCTGCCTGCTTCCGCCTCCCAAGGTACTTGCCGGTAGTCATCTTAATGAGTGCTAAATGGTGTGTCATGGTTTGGGTTTGCATTTCTCTTAATGATGTCTTCAAGTGCTTATTGGCCACTTGTCTACTTTGGAGATTATCTGAAGTGCTTTTCCCATTTTGAGTGGGGGAAATCTGTTGCTGAGTTGGGTATGTCCACTTTTTTAAAGATGCACTATAATAACCCAGACTGTGTTTCTACCTTCTCAGGATTCCTACAGGAAACAAGTAGTAATTGATGGAGAAACCTGTCTCTTGGATATTCTCGACACAGCAGGTCAAGAGGAGTACAGTGCAATGAGGGACCAGTACATGAGGACTGGGGAGGGCTTTCTTTGTGTATTTGCCATAAATAATACTAAATCATTTGAAGATATTCACCATTATAGGTGGGTTTAAGTTGAATATGAAAGTTGGCATTTAGAAGTAATGATAGCTTTCATTTATTGATGCTTTGCTAATTGTTATGCCCATATAATCTATTTAAATTTGAAAACATTTGTGTCACATATGCAGAATTTTAGTTTTACAAATGCAGTTCTCAGGGCTTGCAGCAGTTGTATAACTTGTCTCAGTTTGTGCAGATAGTGGTAGTGCTGGCTGAGCACAGGCCCTTCTGAGGCCAGGGCCTTTGTACTCATATTTCCCTGTGCTAGAGAAATAAGGCTTTTAATGTTTTAGATACATAAAAATACCAACCAGAAACAGAAACATGGAAAGATGCTTTGAGATGGTATCACTCAAATGATCTTAAAAGTAATCATATATATTATTACAGAATTTCATAGGTTGGATAAGCAGTGGCCCTATGTGGTTTTTTTAAAAATACATTGAGAGTGTGCAAGAGGTTGAGAATTAGAGCAGTTACTTGTTTTTTATTTGAAGAGTCTGACAAATGTACATAAGATTACTTAATCATTCCATGAAATGTCTTTTACATCTTTCCTTAAGGGTTTACAGTAGTCATTACACTGTTCATTAAGCAATATCCCCCTTCCTGGTTGTGCCACGTAAGATGGTAGCATCTTAGTTAAGAGAAGTGGCCTGGTGATAGGGATGAAGTGATTGGGGAAGTACTTTTCTATGGTGGTGCAGAGGTGAACTTTGTGATAGCAACCACCTGGGGATAGGAACCAGCTCTACTGTGCTTCCAAGCCACATTTTAGACATTCACAGAAAGTTGTGATGGAATACAATTTTATTCTAAGTTTAGAATTTATTTGCACGTTACGTTGACAACAACACATGAAAAGGACTTTTAAAGAATATACATCGTAGTTTCTTTAGTGTTATTCTTTTTAAAAAAAATCAAGTATTCAGGCCTAGAGAGATGGCCCAGCAGTTACTGACATGTGTTGCTTTTCTAGAGGACCCGAATTAATTCCCAGTATCAGTCATCTCGTGACCACTACAGCTCCAAGGAATCCAATACTCTTGACCTCTACTGGCACCTGAACTCACAGGCACATACCCATGCACAGACACACATGTATATATGATTAAAAATTAAAATTAAAATTAATCTTTCCAATGATTATCTTTCTCTCTTGAGTAGTACAGTAGTTCCCCTTACCCATAGTTTAATTCTTTGACATTTTACTCATGCTCACCAAAGTCTGAAAATACTAAATAGAAATTTCTAGGAATAAATGATGCCTAATCCTTGAATAGCTTCTATTACATACTGTTACAATTTTTGTTTTATTAGTCTCTTCCTATACTTAATTGTCAATTAGACTCTATTATTGATATGTACATACAAGGGGAATAGTATATGAAGGGTTTGGTACTATCCCCACTTTGAAGCATTCATTCGGGGTTCTCAGAATATTTTCCCATAGATGGCAGGGAGAGGTGCAAGTTGTGTGAATGCTGATTATTCATGTTGGGTAAAAACAAGCACAGGCTTACTCTTGAGTCAGGGTTTCGCTATACAGCTTTGGCTGGCTGGGACCATACCCAGTGGATGAAAATATTATCAGTTGTATAATACACACTTAGGTATCATGTTTCTAAGACAATTTTAAACGTAGCACTTTTGGTTTGGAACTTTCCAGTATGTTTCTTATTGTTGTATACACTCATGCGAATGAATCCTTTCTGTTGTAGTTGAGACTGTATCAGTATTTGAGTTTTGAACAGATATGTAAGATTTTTGTCTTAGAGGGAGAAACAAGTAAGAGAAGCGAGGAAAATCTGGTATGGTGGAAACTGGGATTTATATGAAGAAAACTCTCAGTAAAGTTCTGTAGGACAGAAGTGGAGGGCAAAGTTTGAAATATTTTGTGTTGCTCATGCTTCTGTTTCCAATTTGTTTTTCCCCAGAGAACAAATTAAAAGAGTAAAAGACTCTGAAGATGTGCCTATGGTCCTCGTAGGGAATAAATGTGATTTGCCTTCTAGAACAGTAGACACAAAACAGGCTCAGGACTTAGCAAGAAGTTATGGGATTCCATTTATTGAAACCTCAGCAAAGACAAGACAGGTAAGTACAACTAGAGTAAATGTAAATCTTTGAGGGTGTGAATGCTAGCATAACTTGTATTTTATCATTTAGTGTGATTCACCTGTCTTTCTCTCTATTATCCTGACATAGAGTATAAAATAATGTTTATTTGGCAAATGTCTTCTCTTGAGTGGACAGCACTTCTTATCCAGGTACCATGATACTACTTTGAGTTGTTTTTATTTCTCTCTCTTTCTTACTTTTTTTTTTCCTTCTTGTTATGGCAAGGACTGAAACAGGGTCTCTATGTTCCCCAGCCTGGGAACTGACTCTGTCTTCTAGATGCATGCTTACGGGTGTGCTTCACTATGCCTGGTGTTTTGTTTTGTTTTCATACTGAAAGTTTTTCTTAGAGTACATTTTACATTTAGGATTCAAGAAATGTGGGAAAAAATTCCCACTTAAATGATAAAGACAAATAACAGTGGAATAAATTTTGAGTGTCCTATTTTAAAAGCAGTTTTAAGAATTCATGTTTCATCTGGGTGTGGTAGCACACACTCTGTGAGCTCAAGGCCAGCCTGGTCTATATATAGAGTGAGTTCCGCGACAGCCAGTGCTACACTGAGAAACCCTATCTCGAAAAAACAAAACAAAAATCAAACTGAAAAAACAAATAAAAAAAGAATTTATGTTTCTAGATTAAATTTTGTTATATTTGAAGAATTATATCTGGGCAGAAATTTTTTGGAGATCTATTTCTTTAGAGAGAAAGTTGTTATTAAAATAAGGGAATATTTAGAAAGTGAATAGATATTCTTAAATTATTCACTACATTGTTCTGACAAAGGTACATGTCAGAGCCTGAATTTTGTTTCAAGATCATCTTCATTTTAAAAATAATTTTAAACTTCAGTTGATAATTACATCATTTGTTTGTTTGCAGTAACAATTTAACATATAGGAAAGAGTCCTAGAAATGAGTTCATAAAGACTTGATGGAAAACAGTTTCATGTACTGGGTAATTAGTCAACTTATAGTTCATAAATTTATTTGGAGCTTTTATGGGAACCCCCATAAAATGATTTTATAAAGTTTAACTTCTGTGATGAGTTTTTAAATAATTAAGGAGCACTTCATTTCATGACTAAGTATATAAGAGTCATCCTAGAAATGTTACTGAATTTTGTGAGAGATGTAAAAATTTAAACAAATTTCAAACATGCAGATGGATGGATAAATACAAAGAAAATTTCCCTAGGAGGTCATAATGTGCCTCTTGTTTGTACAGATAGGGTGCATATTGAAAGAAAATAGTGAATTCTGTTTGAAGGCTTCATTTGGATTAAAAAATTAATTTCTGTAGTTTGTCTGTCACATGGGTGTCTCCTGGGTACCAGTGTGTTCTTAGTTGACTAAGACTTTACAGAGATCTGATGTTCATCACTTGGCTTCATGATAGAGGAGTTGTTTCATTCTTGTCCATCCCATGTTCTAAAGACAGGAAGAGGTTTGATTCTGTGTTCTGTTTCCTGGTCCTCTCTGACCAGTCTCCTGGATTTTCCTCAGAAAGCAGCTCAGAAAACAGAATTATAATAATATCTGTGACTTTCTTCTATGTTAGAAACACTTCTTTTGAAAGGATTCAAATATGAAATGTAAGAATTTTATTGAAAACATCTAAAAACCTACTATGTAGACTTTACCATTAACATTTTACTACTTGCATTGTTTAAACTTATGAAGAAAGATACCTTTTATACTAGTGATCATTGTAGCTGACATTTCACAAAGAAAAGGAAAAGCCCAAGACGTTGAAGAGCCTCTCATACTTGAATATGCACACAAATCAACTGACCTTATTAAAGTCAAAATCCAGACTTTAATCCAGTTGGTTTGTGTTGAAGCCTGTGATTCTGCACTTCTTTGTACTTCTGGTAGTGCTGGTTGAGTGGAAAGGCCACAGAGCACAGTGAAAAGAGATTCCTGGTTATCTTAGTGTTGCTCTCCACTTCTCACTTGAGAAGATTAAAATAACTGCATTAAACTTATTATTTGTGTGTGACAGAAATGCTTTAGTGTACCATGTTCATAATTGATTAGAACGCTGCCTGCTTCCTTTTAAAATAGCCTTTTAGCTTTAACAGGCATGTGCCAGCTTACTTTGTCAGTTTAAAGGCATATGGTACAGAAATTAACTTAAATTTGTTTAACTTAAATTAACTTAAATTTGCTTTTTAGATAGATGTGAGTCTAACATGTGTAGAGGTAAGATATACAAGAAATTCTTAAGCTATGCTTAGCCCTTGTATTTATACCCCCTATTCTGTTGGTCTCTTTTATGTAACAGTATGTTGCTAAACTATAACTTAGATACTCACTTTTCAATGTACTTGTTGATTTGTTTAGAAATTAATTTGCTTTGAAGAGTCATTAATATTTCTTGAAACTGATATTTATAAAATTTTAGAAGATTCTAAAGAGCTACTCCAAATAATTTTAGTAATTTATGACATATAGTGTACATTTTAATAAATTTTACATCTCCAGCTTTTGTGAAAATTTGAAGCTCCTCTTGGGGGGGAGTATTTTGTTACTATCTTTTATTTGCTTATTTGTTATTTTAATTAAATATATATATATCCTTATTCTATTTTGTTAGCAACCTGTTCTTGTTCATGAGCTTAACAAAAGCACCCAAAAAATGTATTTATGATAATAGGAACTGAACGTTCATTCAGAAGTTCTCAAAGATGTAAGTCATGGCACGGTGAGCATTTTTTGCAGGGGCCCAGATAGTGACATGGTGTCTTAACACATCATTTTCCCTAAGAAGCCTTGAAAATGTCATACTCCTTGTCAGCTTATACCAGAACAATTGACCCTGCCTGTACTTGGCTGGAATATGCTAATCTCAACCTCTAGGTTACAGTTGATGAGATTCTAGTGGTTACACAAGACCCTCAACCTAAAAGTCACAACCTGATTTTACCATTTTAAAGCGAAATTTGTGTATTTAGTGAAAAAAAATATATTTTACTACTTTTTAAGATAAGGGTTGCAGAATATATATTTTTACCAATACATTACTTGCTAACTTTAAAATATACATTACCTTACCAGTATATAATGGTAGATAGGTAGGTGATAGGTAGGTAGGTAGGTAGGTAGGTAGGTAGGTAGATAGATAGATAGATAGATAGATAGATAGATAGATAGATATAGGTGATTGGTAGATAGATAGATGGATTGATTGATTGTGTGTGTGTGTGTGTGTGTGTGTCTGTCCATGTGTCCGTCTGTCTGTCTGTCCCCATCCCCAATCCCTGGGACTACAGATGTGTGGCATTGTGCTTAGCTATTTTTGTGTCTTTATCTGAATGGGTAAAGAAGCTAAATTAAATTTGCTGGTATGCTATTATGTGGCCCTGATATTCGTAGTCTAGAAAGAGTGATACTTCACATTTATCAAGACACTTAGGAATTGACAGAATTTTCTGATTCCTTTGGACTTCATGGCAGAAAAGGCTGTTGAGACTGAAAGCCCTAACATCTTGAGATTAGCTGGGAATTTGCCAGGCTGCTAAAAACAAGTCAGAGTGACTGGGTGTCAGGTAGATGATAAGCAGGGGTCTCAGAACAGCCAGTCTAGCTTTTTTACATTTGGTGGTCTTGATTTGAGCAATGTAAAATTAGTTTCCAAACTTAAAAGTCATCCAATAGTCATTAATTTCTTGGTTTGTTGTTAATTTCTAGATATATAAAATTAGTTGATAGAAAGCCTCTCAGAAAGCTTATCATAAAACTGTTTAAGAAAGCAAAACAAATTTTAAAACCTCAGGTACCTTATCTAATAATTGTTCTTTTCCCCTGTGAGGTCAATGTTTTGAACTTTGAGTTAGAAGTGGACAGTTACTGAACACTTGCTGTGTGGTTGTACTTCAGTAGTCCTGAGATGGGTTATAGTTTGACAGGGTTTCTGGAGGAAAATCGGGGAGGTGAGGTTGGTACTGGGAACTAGGTCTGGTTTTTCCATCCCTCCCCCAGAAGGCCATTGTGCTTGCTTCTGTGTGGAGCCACAGTTGGTGCTACATGCATGTCATTCCCTTGACAGAGTTCTGCACGGTGTTTTGTAGATTCAACAGGGAACAAAACAATGATAAAAATGTACTTACTGAGAGCAAATGAAAATGTTTATTTGTTAGCAGATCTCTAAGGGGGTGCTCTGTTTCCATAGTCTCGTCTGCTTTGAGCTCAAAATATTGTCAGAACTCTGTTTAAAAAAGAATTACATACTTAAACTTGGGTACTCTTGCTTATACATAGATATTTTCATTTTCCTTTAAAGTGAGCAAATGTGGCAATAAGTTATACCCTCAAGGACAAACCACTATGCACCTTAAGGGTTTAACAAGCAGTTGTAATTACCTTATTTTTAAATGTTACTTCCAAGTTCAGAATATTAAAATCAGTAGTCTACATTATAGTCATGTACCATATGTAGTATTTAGAAGTAAGAGAGAGTGCTGGTGGTAGGACGAGGGTAAATAACATTGTTTTCAAGTTCTTGATGTCAGTATAACTTTGAAGCTTATTTTCAAGGAATAACTAAGTATGGAAAATGTGGTAAATAACTTTTTAAATTTAAATTTTATATTCATAAAACTAAGAAATGGAAAGTTTTTCTGTAGTAACTATTTCTTGGTGTTATTAATTATCTTGGCCACTGAGATCCTAATACTGAATTCCTGGTGATGGGTAGTTGTCTCTTTAATTACTGGCTTCCAATTCTCTCTCTGCATTGCTGGAAACAAAAATCATATATTCTTGTATTGGTGATGGGGATGCTCACACTAAAAAAGCAGACACATTAAACTGTTAAACTCAAATTTTGCTTCTGTTAAATTAGAGGACAAATATCCTCTTTTTTCTCCCTTCATAGCACATTGACCTCTACATTGACATTGTAAGTTTTTTTTTAAAGAAGGAATAAAGATTTACATTCTTTAAGATTTTAAGAAAATATGAGCTTTTGCCTGGTTTGTCTCTTTCTCTGTATAAATAAATATATAAATATATGGAGAATTTCTTTCATTGGCTTTCAAGTTAAAAGAGAATAATTATTTATGAAAATATACATTGACTAGTCTTGCTTTACATTTTAAATGCTTTGCAAGTCATTTATCTTAAATAACTTATTTTATATAATATGAACATTTTTGATATCTTTTTGAAGAATGAATAGTAAAACTTTTGCCTTGAGAATGAATGATAAAACTACTGAAAACTAGTACACGCAGATACAAGTGGGGATGTAATTTTAAATGCCACATTTAGTGATTTTTAAAAGTTGAAAATGTTTCTTCCTCTGTAGGATAAGTAGTTAGTTGATTAAATTGATTCCATTAAAATAAGATTGGATTGGAGAGCGGGAGAGATGGCTCACATATTAAGCATGCTCTACAGCGGGCAGTGGTGACACACACCTTAAATCCCAGCACTCAGGAGGCAGAGGCAAGCGGATCTCAGAGGCCAGCCTGGTCTGCAGAGTGTGTTCCAGGACAGGCAGGCCAGACTGTAACACAGAAAAACCCTGTCTCAGGGGGAAAAAAAAAAAGAGTGCTTGCTGCTCTTTGAGAGGACATGACTTTGGTTCCTGCCTCCCACTTGGGTGGCTAGCAACCACCTGTAACTCCAGCTCTGGCCTCCAAAGACACCTCTACACACATTAAAATATTTTTTAAAAAAGATTTTTCTAGAACTATAATGATTTTTATTATTAGATCATTTTAAATGAGTATTTTTCACTGGATGGCACATGGTATTAGCCAGAAGTATATATTTTAATATGAAATCATTATTTAAATGCCTGCTTGTTTACTGAAATTCAATTTTATGAATTTTAAAGGTAAATTACTGACCTTCACTGAAGTGGTTCTTAATACATTCTTGAGATTTGTAAAACTTCATGTGCCCTAAATAATTGAAGTATCTTTTTCTTAACTGTTGAAGGCAGCAAATGAGTTACACATGCAAAAATCAATCCTTAGTTGTTGACTTACTGCCCTCAATACTGAGTGCCTGATTGAATTTAAAATTATAAATTGTTTTTGGTATATTAGCTTCTTAGGTGCTAGGTACATTCATCACATTTGGTTCAATGGAAACTTTGATTTTTACCAATTGTAGAAAAATAAAGAATATACCAGTCCCCTATGTAATCTATTCATTATTAAAATGAAATAAAAAAGTTTAAAATTAAATATGTAGTAAAATATGCCAGCTTTCCTAAGTATTTATCTTTTTTTTTTTTATTTAAAGAAGAATGGACATAAATATTACATCTAAGGTTGAATTTGTACTACATGTATTTGAAGTTTCTGGACATTTCTCTTAGATAAACTTCTACTTTAGTGGTGTATTTTTCTGATGAAATTAGCATTACAGTTATAAGTACTTTGTGCCTTTTAGGCTATTGCCTAATTTTCTGTTTTGAGAAAGTTGAAAACCTTTCTCTCCCTAAAGGCTATTTATGATTCTCCTTGCTATAGCAAGGAGATTTATACCACAGCCTTAAATCAGAAAACCCCATTAGAGGGGCTGGAGAGATGGCTCAGCAGTTAAGAGCACTTACTGTTCTGCAGAGGTTCTGGGTTCAGTTCCATACAGTGGTTCATGGCCATTGTTACCCAGTTCTAGGCTATCTGATTCATTCTGACCTTGAAGGCACCAGGTATGCACAAGGTGCACAAACACAGATGCAGTCAAAACACTCATGAACATAAAGTACAGCACATTCTCCAATAATGAAAAAGAACACCCTTTAGACAGTGGTGTCTGGGCAGTTTTCTGCAGGCTGTTTGAGACTTGTATAAGGATACAAATGGTTTGCTCCTATCTTATTTATTTCAAATAGTTTGTGGAATTTCTTATTTTGGTAAATGGCTCCTATTTAACTTATTTAAATACTGTAATTACCCATCCCCTGTGTACCAGTCTCAGATGGACGTAGGGACTTAGAAATTGATTAGAAAGTATCTAATTGAAGATGAAACTGGAGGTTCCAGTGTCTGGACTCACCTTGGTTGGGACATGGATTTTGGGTTTGGTTTTAGCAAGGCTTCATGTCCCTAGTCTGCCTCTCTCTCTGCTCCCCAGCTGGGTGGAAGGTGACATCAGTGGTGTATGTATCACTTGTCTTCCTTTGTCCAAGGCAGTTCCTCAAACTTCAGTTATTGTATCGAGAAACAGAGACATAAAGTTAGGCTTTTTACAATCTCCTCTGATTCCTAATTAAAAATGTTAAACTCTCAATTCCAATAAAAAATTAAATACTTTTGAGAACAAACCAGGTTTTAGCTCATGTTTTAAAGCTGCATCCTCAATTTTATTCAATCTGATGTCTGCTTAAAAAAAAATCTCAACTGTAAAGCTCATAATTCAAATTTCTTACACATGGCTATCCCAGTAAATTACTCTTCCAAATGAAACAGACTTTAAAGAAGTTGTGTTTTACAATGCAGAGAGTGGAGGATGCTTTTTATACATTGGTGAGAGAGATCCGACAGTACAGATTGAAAAAAATCAGCAAAGAAGAAAAGACTCCTGGCTGTGTGAAAATTAAAAAATGCATTATAATGTAATCTGGTAAGTTCAGCATATTCATTTTGGTACAAAGCAGATGTCTTTCAAAGGTAACAAAGCAGTCAGAGTGACTGGATATGGTGTTCTGCTTTGAAGTGTTAAAAGATAAGAAACTTGTCATTTGTTTCTATGAGTACATTTATTTTACAAGTGATTATTAATTATAATTGACACCTGTTGATGGCTACAATAGACTAATCTGCATTTGTAATAAGCTCTAATGACTTCATTAGTTTTAAGTAAGCTAAGCATTTGGGAACTGTTGATTTATTTTGAAGGGAAATCAGATTTAAGTTTTAGGATAACCAGCAACTTTTGAGTAAAAAATGTGTAATAATAATAATATGGCCCAGAGGTGGGAAAGGGCCTAACAAGTTAACTGTTTCTCTGCCTGTGCTTTGTGGCGAGGAGCCAACAGCACTTCCTACCCAGTGAGATCTGAATGCTTTTGCGTGCTCCTGCACCCATTTAGAAGCAGTGCTAGATTCCTATGATATTGCTCTGTCACATTCTTCCTTAGTTCAGGCCTTCTGATTTCTCTTGTACTGTTTACTTGTAGCTGCTGTCATTCACTGTTCAGGTTGCTTGAGAGGAATGGCAGTCTCTTACTTGTGAATCTAATCACTTCTTTATACAGTGATCACAGCTTCAGGATCTCTACACATACCTTATATGGTCCTCAGCACTCTCCCTCCTCTCAGCCTTTTGGAACTTTATATCTGAAAAAATGTCATCTTGACAGTTTTGTTCGTACATAGACATCATGTTATCCCTGCCTACCCTTCAGTCCTCCCCCTTGTTTGGATCACCGGTATTCTTATCCCTAGTTTGATGAACCAGCTCACATGTGATTCCCCAATCTCTTAAGAATCTCTTCAACCCTTAAAATGGGCATTGTATATTTCCAGTATACTATTTTTAACTATATGTCTTTCTATGTTGCATTGAAATAGCTTATGTTTTATTCTTTTATTAGACAATAGAATTCTAGAGCGGGACCATATATTTTAATCTTTGTGTCCCCATTGTATGTTGAAATTCTTGGCACATAAGTACTTCCTAGTAAAGACTGGATGGACCCTTTGACTTTCCTGTCTGAACTAACCCAGATTATACTTTGTCCAGCTCAGCATATTCTTCACTCAGTGAGTTGACGTTTGTGGAGGCTGTTGCCATATATATGTCCCTTGAGAACATGAAAAAAACAAAATTAGTGTTTAAGACTACTAAGAGATGTAAATTCAGGAACAAAGCAGTACTTGCATGGATTTCTAAAGGGATTATGAACTCTTAGAATTTGTACCATTGTATAAAACCATACTTCAGTTTTGAAAATTAAAAATGCAACTTTAAAAGTTAATCTTTGATTTAAGTGGTGATTTTAAGTTTATTCCCCCTTTCTACAGCCTCACTCTTAGATTATTTTAAAACAGAACAATATTTAGAGTATGTGGTACACTTAACATTATATTCAAAACAAAGGCAGAACCACACACTGCTCTAAGTGTCTAAAAGATGCAGTTTGTAGCACTGACTGGCCTGAATGTTAATAGTTGATCCTATGAATTGAATCATTGTGATTTTAGTGCGCATAGCACTTTCTATATAAAGAAAGAGTATGTTTTATGATATTTAAAATTATAGTTAGATAAATATTTAAAAATTTTATTTAATAATGATAAATATATACAAATTAGTTGTTCATAGTCTTAGAAAAGGAGTAAGTGAAAAAAAATTACCAGAATATGAGCTGTGACTTTATGAGAATTAGTTCCCACAAGAACAAGGAGTCCACTGCCCTGTGTACATTAGCTATGACATTTCTAACCTTGAAGTCACCTAGTTAGAATTAATGCAGCTAGAGGCCAACAGTCTGTCAGAACCTGAGAAGAGGGTAAATGCTGTTAAATTCTGTCTTCCTTGTCTCTTCAGTGCTTGCATTCAATGCTTTATTCCACCTTAAAGAGTTTCTTACAGCTGTCCCTCTCAGGATTTTTATTTTTCTGCATCATTGTTTTAGTAGTATTCGTTTTTCTCCATTATGAAAATACTTTGAGGGTTAATAAGATGGCTGTCAAGCCTGAGGGCCTGAGTTTGATCCTTCAGAGCCACTTAGTGGGAGAAGAGAACCTGCAGTTGTCCTCTGACCTCCATGAGTGCCATGCCATGCACACAAACACAAACATAAATGAATGTAAGTTTTTAAACCGTTGAAATAGAGTAGGTAGCATCATGTGTGATCAAAGGGAATTGATGAAGGTTAAAAGGGAGTTAGACAAGATTCCATCTCTGGCTGGGAGATGGTTCAGTGAATAGGCATGCTTGTTGCACTAGCATGAGCACCTGAGTTCAGATCCCTAGAACTCACAAAAAGCTGGTCAAATAACACCTGTAATTCCAGCGTTGGGGCAGGGGCCAAAAGTACTCAGTGGAGTTTGCTGGTCACCAGCCTAGCTCCAGGCTCATTGAGACACTTTGCTTCATGGGAAGAAGATGGAAAGTGATGGAAAGGATCCCAGTGTGCTTCTCTGACCTCCACTTGAATACACAGGTACACCCCCCCACACACACACACACCCACATCTCCCTCTCACACGCATACATATGCAGACAAAAAGATTCCATCCAATCCCAAGGGTCTATGACCCTAAGTCATGAACTGCCAGTGAGTTATAGGTACTTTTGTTTATTATGTCATTGGAAGGGTTTCTCACTGTGTGTTAAGGATAGCATGGAAGGAAGTATCTGTCTGAATGGATCTCACAGTCTAATTAAGCCTGACTGTATTGCTTGTGTTGTATCAGTAATGGTTTTCAGCAGGTGAAAAGCACCAGTGAGTGCAGATTGGGGTTTTGGGCAGTATATATATATATATATATATATATATTCACTTGTATTCAAATAGATGATACTGACTTACCCTATTTCTGTCTGTGAAATGTGAGCAAGCTACAGTGCCACTCTGCCTTTTAACTGTGCTGGTCATGCTTTCCTGAATTAGAGATTAGTTGTCGATATGAGTTAACTGGAACTTGAAAGTATTCAAGTGGCTTAAATGTGGTGGGTACTTGTTCTCCAGACTCCCTCTATTGTCTAGGTTTGGAAGCATTGTTAGGTTAAAATTTCTTTCTGTAGTTCCAGTAGGATGAACAGATGAAATAAAGCATGGCCACTTTTTTCTTCAGCTTCACTTTTGCTTTTAACACAGATAAGGCAAGGACTGACTCCAATGTGAACTTGCATATTGAAGGTCTAAAGTCAGTTCTCCTACTTCTAAGAATGTACTTTTCATGCCAAGGTCTAGGAGGTTGGAAATTAATCTGACTTAATCAGTTTTAGTCATAACTGATTTACATGTTTTGCTTTAATGACACATAGATGTATGCCTTAATGACTAACATTGAATGTTCTTTGAAGATGAGCGTTTATATGACAAGTTTTGAATGGCTGAACAGTAACTTAAACAGTCAGAGAATCTTTTTCATTGTGGTCAAGTATACCACCTCTCAGACAACTTTGCTCATTGCCAGAGGTTGGGGCATTGCATCTTTCAAGTTCTTAGAGTCCCATGGCTTCCTGTTTAAAGTCCAGAAACTTGGGACAATTAAGTTGTATATACAAAGGCACACCTACCATACAGAGCTGCAAGCATTGGGAATTGAATGACTAGTTGGCTAATCGGAAAAAATTAGTAGAAAATCAAGTCCTTTTGGGAAAAAATAAGTCATTTGTTAAGTGTATGTAATGTCCTGTGCCACTTACTATTGCGTGTTGTGAAAGTTAGGAGTTTCTATTTCTGTAGAATACTAGGACTGGAAAGATGGTTAAGTGGTTAGAGCACTGGCTGTTCTTCCGGAGGACTTAGCCACCCAGCACCCACCCGGCAGCTAACAACTGTCAGTAACTCCTGTCCCTGGGGATCTGATGCCTTTTTCTGGCCTCTGTTGAGCACTGTACTCACACAATGTACAGACATACCTGCAGACAAAACACTCATATATAATAAGTTGTTTTAAATATCATAAAATTTTTAAATAATAATTTAAATTTTTAAAGATGTCAGAGTATCTATGAAGAGATACTTGATCCTAACATTCTGGCCCATTCAGCTGTCAGAACATCAACATAAACTGGACTTACTCTTTGTTAGTATTAATGTTTCCATCAACAATGAAAGTCTGTCATTGGGGCACCTCAGACCATCATGTGCATTAATATTTTAATTCCTTTTTATATATTTCAGGGTGTTGATGATGCCTTCTATACATTAGTCCGAGAAATTCGAAAACATAAAGAAAAGATGAGCAAAGATGGTAAAAAGAAGAAAAAGAAGTCAAAGACAAAGTGTATAATTATGTAAATACAATTTGTACTTTTTTCTTAAGGCATACTTAAGTAAAAGTGGTAATTTTTGTACATTACACTAAATTATTAGCATTTGTTTTAGCATTACCTAATTTTTTTTTTCTGTTCGTGCAAACTGTTAGCTTTTATCTTAAATGCTTATTTTAAAATGACAGTGGAAACCTCTTTTCTCTAAGTGCCAGTATTCCCTGGGTTTTGGACTTAAACTAGCAATGCCTGTGGAAGAGACTGAAGACCTGAGACTCTGTCTTAGGGTTTTGGTGCATGCAGTTGATTCCTTGCTAATTCTCTTACCAGCTGTGAGCGTTGGTGTGAACTGGAGTAATGAAGCTTTTGAACCATCCCTGCTCTGTGTTTCATCTAGTCACTGAATGAATTAATTAGTAATTACAGCTTCATCTGAAACCTTATGGTTGGTTCTACTAAGACTGAGGGATCACAGATTTATGGGCTTCCCTTTGATTCACTTCTAGCATGTCTGAGAGTTTATCATCCTTCATAGTGTAGTTAGTTAAGACTGTTCACAAAGGCTTTCTCTTGCTTTCCACTGCTATTAGTCATGGTTACTCTCCCAAATAGTATATTTTTTCTAGAAAAGGGGAAAAATGGAAAAAAAAAAGCAATGGAAAATATTGAATAAAAGTCCATTCTATGTTAGCTAAATTACTGTAATATTCCTAGTAGCTTTTCCTGGTAAGGCAGACCCAGTAAGAAATAGTAACCATTTGGGCTATATTTACATGCTACTAAATTTTTGTAATTCAAACAATTTTAACACATATAAAAAGTTCTCATAAGAATTAGTATAATCGCCCTGTGTCAGAGTGTTCTTTCTTAGCCTAACTATTTTAAGTCTTTTTTGAGCTTTAGTCCTTAAAAGTAGTTTTAATTTTGGTTAAGAAGTTGAAGATGATTTGAGACAGTTACAGCTTAGCAGGTGTTGAGATCAAAGTTGCAAGGCTGGGCTTTATGTGGACCTGTGATGAGCGTTACTGGGGTTTATAGTGCTGCTGCATTCAGTGTTGGTCAAAATGGGGGACAAGGAGAGTTTGGACAGCTCAGTACAATTCATTCTCTTCATGTAGCAGTCTTGCTGACAAATCAAGAATGTTTCTTTTGTTTATGATAATAATAATAATAAAATTTAAAAATCAATTTCAGTGTTAGCTTCAAGGTTGAGATTTGTGAGTAGGAGGCTACAAGGAGAGTAAATCTTTAAAACAATGAAGTATGAAAGCTTGAAAATGCATGGTTGACTAGTCTCTCAACTCTGAACAAACATTGCTAAGTACTTCCCAAATTTGATGTGTATTTAGAAATATCTAATGCTTTAAGAATAGATAAGTTAACAGCAAAAAACAATCCCTTCAATGCACTTAAAGCATTCCTTTAAATATTTGAAGTGATATTAAAATCCACTGGACTATGAGGACTGGATGCCTGTCTTTTGGAAGTCTGATTTTAGGCATATCACTGTCTACTTAATATTAAATCATCTCAAAGACTCTTCACAGATGTGTAATTTATAGTCCGTTTACACACTGATACACCGAGTTGTCAAACTCAGCACAATCTGTAACTTTTTTACATGAATTATCATCTTCACTGCCAAATTATGCAAAATTGTGCAAGAGGTAAAGTTTATATTTCAGGATCCATTCTCCAATTTCAGGACTCCCCACCAACATATGCCCCTTTTAATACTTAAAATTTTATTTCTGCAGTGAACAACTACATGAAAGTTGCCCACTAAGGGAAGGTACATCAAAGCTGCCTATGACTTTCTTCCCCAGGGCTTAAAATAATCCAACAGAAACCATAGTGGGATTTGAACTAATAGCTGGCTTTCAGGTGGCCACTACAGAAATTTAATCTTGATCCTTTGGACTTCATGCCTGCAGCCCAGTCCACTCGTGGCTAGGTAGGAATTTTCAAATTTAGTGTGAACAGACAGAACACTGTGGAAGGAGAGCTTAATCTTCATCTAGGTATCATCCTGGTTCATAGAGTCCATTGTTTTAATAAATACAGTCTAACAGGGAAAACACTTTCAAGTTTCAATCATAAAATTCATTTTTAAAGTCAGAATTTATTTACTCAGCATTTATTCGTGCTTGTCTTATGCTAGGCACACACAAGGTACTGGGGATGTGATGTAGTATCCCCAGAGAAGGGACACAATCCTTGGCCAGTGGTATGTAGTGTAGGCTGTAATACTTTAGTAAGGTGTATGGCTCATGACCTAGAAATAATAGAATACATGGTTTTAGTTTTACAGAGAGGAGTTTGGTCTCTTACATTTTTCTCTCAATTAAGCAATTGAGAATTGTTTGTTGTGATTCCAATGCAACTCTTTAATTGAGCTACTTTATGTAATTATTTCATTTTTCTAAAGAAATAGAAATTCCCTAATCTAGTTATCTCCTTAAGTAAATAATTAAAAAAAACTTACAAAAATTAAATACTGACTTCTAAAATAGCTTTATTTGGGTACAAATAAGCAGGAACCTGAGTTTATTTGCAATAAAGGAAACAAAATCAGTATGATTTCTGAAATGTTCTAAACTATAAATGTTGACTATTAAGTCTTTTTTTTGGGAGGGGGTTGGCATCCAAGACAGGGCTTCTCTGTGTAGCCCTGTCGTGGAACTTGCTTTGTAGACCAGGCTGGACAGAGATTAGCCTGCCTCTGCATCCTGAGTGCTAGGATTAAAGGTGTGCACCACCACCGCCAGGATATAAGTCTTAACACAGTAATACTATACAAGGAGCAGGTGTGCTTTCGGAGCTGCAGTGCATAGTCAGATATTTACTGAAGACAGTGGAATTCTTAATGTTTCTGGGCAATGTGTTGAAGTAATGGTAATTACCATTATGTAAATTTTGAATTGTTAGCCTTCGTTAACAAAAAGGTTTTGTAGAGATTTTTTTTTAAAGGGGAAAAAAGTCCTAGAAACAAACATAAATGCTGTCTAGTTACTATAGCCTTAAGTCCTTTTGAAATTGAAAACCAGTGCTAAATCAGTCATAGGCATGAACATGTTTGTGGGGAGAATATAGCAGACAAGTACAACTTGAGTCAATATTTTCAATCAGGAATCTAGGCTCTATTGACTGAGTCACACTGCATAAGAATTTAGATCCTAACTTTTTTTTTTTTTTTTTTTTGGTTTTTCGAGACAGGGTTTCTCTGTGTAGCTTTGCGCCTTTCCTGGAACTCGCTTTGGAGACCAGGCTGGCCTCGAACTCACAGAGATCCTCCTGGCTCTGCCTCCCGAGTGCTGGGATTAAAGGCGTGCGCCACCACCGCCCGACTTAGATCCTAACTTTTATAGATTAAGACCTTTGCCACCATTGCACAATTTCATCTAACATACATACAAGTTCTGTGAGGCATGTCAAAAGTTACAGTTTGCACAAATTCATCTCATTTTGTATTCCACTGATTTTCCATTATTTTTCCCCAAACAGTAGTATATATTTAGGAGGGGTTTTTGTAGGCAATAAAAATTTAAACTCCATTTGTTAAAAAGTAATGACTTCTTGATAATTGATTGTATAGTCATTTTTTAAGACCCAAGAGTTACTTTAAAGGTGAATTTATACTTAATAACTTCTGTGTGATACTGGGTAGCATGAATTCTGCACTGAAAAATTGAACAGATACACCCAGTAGCTGTAAAATTTGTCAAAACATGAAAATTATTTCTAAAGAAGTACATTAGTTTTCAAAGAATAGCTATTAATTAGATTCAGATTTGTGGTTTAGTTTAATAGTTTGAAGTGCCTGTTTGGGATGGTGGTAGGCATTTTAGATGAATTTGGGAAAAATAAAGTTCTCCGCAGAAATGCCAGTTTCAGACCCACCCACCCCCAACCAGCTAAGTGGGCTATATGCTGATTTGTCTCCAGGTCCCCAGTTCCACTGTCTCATGTCTTCATGTTGAAAACACCTCTGCATTTTTATTTGAGTGCCAATTTCTTACTAGTGCTATTTCCTGATGTAACATGTTTACCTGGAATGTATTTGAACTATTTTTGTATAGTGTAAACTGAAACATGCACATTTTGTACATTGTGCTTCCTTTTCCTTCTTTCCTTCCCTTTTTCCTTCCCCCCTTTTTTTTTTTTTTTTTTTTTTTTTTTTTTGTGTGTGTGTGTGTGTGTGGTGGGGGCATATGCAGTGTGATCCAGTTGTTTTCCATCCTTTGGTTGTGCTGACCTAGGGAATGTTGGTCATATCAAACATTAAATTTAAAAATGACCACTCTTTTAATTAAAATTAACTTTTAAATGTTTATAGGAGTACGTGCTGTGAAGTGATCTGAAATTTGTAATATTTTTGTCATGAACCGTACTGCTCCTAATCATTGTAATGTAATAAAAATAGTTATGGTGACTATGAAGTGTGTGATTACTTATTTTTAACTGTGGTTGAGGCTCAAGTCCAGAGCCTCGTGTTTGTTAGGCAAGCACTCCATGCTGAACTATACCCCCGGCCTGACTGTGGGTGTTTCTTGATGGGAATTTGGAACATCTGCTAGGTAGCTGATAGGGAATCCTTAAGCGGACACTTTTTGCAGCCTTAAGTTGTAAAGTTTTTTATTTATAAAGTTGCTAAGAATATTACATAAAAGTGTTTGTTAAACTTGCGGTCCTGTCGGCTAGGTCCACTCCACATTACCTCTGTTTCAGGCAGACAAAAATATGCCTGCTTTGATGGTGGAAACAGGAACATTACCATTCCTCATGAAAGCTAGTCTAAGCAGGACAGGTGATCTGGGGCTTAAGGGAGCTAGCAGCACAAAGAATAATAGAAATAATGGCTACATAATGCCAGTCATCTGCTGAGCATGCCAAGGTCAAAGTCACCTTCATATGTTTTATTTTGATAACTGCATTCAAATCATTTTGAGGAGGTGTTTGTAGAGAGCCTTGAATATGCACTTCGTATACTAAATGGGGGGAAAGATCGGATGCTCACAAGCTAAAGGATAATAAACCTGTCAGACACTATTTGCTAATGACAGTCTCATCAGTAAATGGAGTAGACTAAGAATAATTGGCTATTACATGTTAGAAAATTAAGTGTATTTTCTTCAAAATTGTATTCTCATGAAACATGATAAAGTTACTATATAATTAACAATAAAATTTGAGCATAAAGGGTTATGAATAAAGGTCTCAGTATCAGTGAGGTTGAAACACATTTTAGTACAGTAGGGCAACTCTGGTTTTTTTAAACATGTATCTTGCCATTGTAAATTGAATTATTTTATAATAGTACACACCAACAGCTGGCACTGATTGGTTAGTTGTTGGTATCTGAATAGTAACGTTGCTTCATAGCTCTGTATTTCCTAAGGAAGTATAAGGCCTCTAGTTCCTTCATTACAAATTCTCCTCGTGCAATAAGCTCTTTGATCTTCTCTGGGTCCTTCACATCCTTGTTTTTAAGGAAAACATTCTTCAAACGCCTTTTAAAATAGTCTGCTCCTTTTGGATAGTCCCGTCCAAGATACAGCAGCTTTAAAAAGAAAGATGTGTTTCTAAGCAATCCATGTCATATAATAACATATTTGTAAAGTTGGCAGCATAGTTACTTACATTTTTGTAAAGAGCCAGTACTTCTCCTCGTAAAGAATTGGCCATTTTCACTTAACATGGAATTAATCCACTTTTAATCATAACATACCTAAAGAAAAGGAAGATTTTTTTTTTTCAAATAACTGCTATATAATCTTAATCACAGATCTTACACATTGGGGAAATGGTAAGCTTGTTTTCCATCGCTGTGTGCAAGTGTGTACTTGCCACAGTGTGCATGTCCAGGCCATGACCGCAGATGTCAGTCCTTTCCATAGACCTTATTTGAGATGTTCTCATTTGCTGCTTCAAACAGCTGGCCCTGTGTTCAGGGATTCCTGCGTCTACCTCCCATCTCCGTAGGCACGCTGGGATTACAGATTGGAGTCTTTACACAGATCTAGCTTGTGCAATTGCTTTACCCACTGACCCCTCTTACCCCCAGAATGGTGATTTGTGCTGAGAGCTTTTATAATCTAGGCACTCTTAACTTTTCCAAGCCTGTTTCCTTACCAAAAGGAAAGCTGTCTACCCCACTCTCAAGGCTAGACTTCATTATGTGGAAGACACTAAGAGTCTAAATCTAGAAAGATGTTTTCAAAGAAAAGTTAAAAACTTAAAAAGAACTGGGTGGGAGATCAAAGAGGTTGGCACTTAACCAGAAGGCACAATAATGAACAGAGGTTAAATGAAGCATTTGGAAATGATTCCACAGGGAGCAGACAGCCCCTATGGTGTTGACCATGCTTCTTATGCTTAGGTAGCTCAAGCTGCCAAGGAGAGGAGCTTGGGAAAGGCCTCATTAGACCAAGCCTAAATATATTCCTATTTCTAACCTCTTACAATGCATCTTTATCAGCTAGGCACAATTCCATTGTGTTCTGTTATGGCTGATTAAAGTGCTTGCCAGTATTCTCCACTGTAAAATTATTTCTTCCCAGGAACCTAGTTCATGTAGTGGCAAATGGATTTATAAACCACCACATGGATGGGGTATTTTAGGAAGCAAGATGTACTAGAACTGCTGTGGGATGTTCTGTATGTCAAATGTGTTGCTCTGATTGGTTAATAAATAAAACACTGATTGGCCAGTGGCCAGGCAGGAAGTGTAGGCAGGACAAGGAGAGAGGAGAATTCTGGGAATTGGAAGGCTGAGTCAGACACTACCAGCCGCCACCATGACAAGCAGCATGTGAAGATGCTGGTAAGCCACGAGCCATGTGGCAAGGTATAGATTTATAGAAATGGACTAATTTAAGATATAAGAACAGTTAGCAAGAAGCCTGGCATGGCCATACAGTTTGTAACCAATATAAGTCTCTGTGTGTTTACTTGGTTGGGTCTGAGCGGCTGTGGGACTGGCAGGTGACAGAGATTTGTCCTGACTGTGGGCCAGGCAGGAAAACTCTAGCTACATAGAACAGTGGTTCTCAACCTTCCTAATGCTTCAACCCTTTAATACAGTTCCTCATGTTATGGTGACACTCAACCATAAAATTATTTCATCCCTACTTCATAACTAATTTTGTTATTGTTATGGATCATAATGTAAATATCTGATATGCAGATGGTTTTAGGCAAACCCTGTGAAAGGGTCGTTTGACTCCAAAAGGGTTGCGGCTCACAGGTTGAGAAATGCTGTTCTAGAATCTCACTACAATGGGGACTGCTTGGGTCTCTTAAATACTGAATAAAGGTGTGCACCTGTAGATCCAAGTGCTATATGCATGTGTGTGGTTTTTATATTGATCTTTATATAATCCAGTAGCACTTAATTCCCACATTACAGGATTTATTTTAATTTTAGCTTCCTGTCAATAATTCTAAAACTTGTGTCCAACAGTGAACAAGCTGGTTCCCATTATCCTCAATAAATTTACTTTTTTGGATCATAAATTTCCCCCCTACTGTCACCATCTGGCACATTCTCTTCCCCTTCCCACTCCCTGTTCCTGGAAGGCTCACTGTGTCCCTGTCTTGCCTCCACCCTCTCCACCCAGACAGTGTCCTCTTGTGCACAAACCACTCTTCCCTGAGACCTGCTTCCCTTCTTTTGAATTCTTAGGGGACCCACTTTCCAGCCCTTCTCTGGTGCGACTTTGCTTAGTGCTACCTAACAACCTTTGAACTGAATTATTCAGGAAAACGAAAACAAACAAAAAAATTCAAAGTAGTTTCTTTTTTTAAGATTAATTACAGTTATTTTACACTAGCAGAAGATGGGAGATTCTTGAAATTATAGCGTCATATTCAACCAATAATAGTTGTGCTGAGCTAGGTGGAGGCTGAGGCAGGGGAAGATCCCAAGTTTAAGGAGAGCTATGATTGAAGTTTCATAGGGACACTGTCTTAAAGAAATACTAAAAATAGTACTGAATTGTTTCATTTGGGTTTAGTGCTGAGTTGTACAGATCCTAATTAATTCTACCTGTGCCCCTTTAAGAATTATGGTGTCCACTTAAGTTTTCTGGGGTGCTAAGTCATAGTCACCCGTGTTCTCCAGCTTCAAAAGTCTTACTGCTGTCATCATCTCTCCCCGCTTTTTCCTGAAGATTTAGTGGAATTCTGGAAGGCATTGAAACCAGTGTGTTTAGCCCATAATATTAACAACTGGAGTGTTTTTAACAATTTTGCAGGGGGTGGGAGTATAGCCATTGGTCTATCTTGTTGAAGAGTGACTGTTAAAACTATGTGGTTTAAAATTAAATTTATATAGATAAAATTTGACAGCAAATTATAGCCCATTTAATGTCAGCAAAAAAACACAGCCTCCTTTAATTGACATTTGTAATTTGTGAAAGCTTGAGCCCTGGCTTAGCTGTCCTTTCCAGTAGTTTTCCCTACAAGTGTTAATAATAAAAAATTCACCTAGCAAAAAAGTGTAGCTAGTGTGGTCAAGGTAGGTTAATCTGGTTCTTTTAATGTTAATTTATAATACAGTTGATTTGGGGGAATTTTGAGTTTATTTTTGCTGCAAGAAAAAACTCGTTTCCTTTGATTTCTAAACTAGGAAACAAATACTGCATAGATCTGCATGAAGTCTTGGAAGTTATCAAAGCTGGATGAGTGCATGGCTAGAAGTCACCCACTATGCTGAGAGCTTGGATATGTGTAGTGGGCAAGGAGTTGCAGCCCCTCCCCCCTTTTCCCCTACAGACTTTGGGCAAAGGAATTAAGATTACTTGGAATGAAGGGATTATCGTTTCAGTAGGACACTATTATTTTCTAGGATAAGGACTTGATGCCTAATGATGTTATACTGCCCCATGAGGTTCAAGTGACAGGAAATGGAGACGGAAAGGCAGTGTATTATTAGTTTCTAGGGTGTGTCTAGTGGACTGGGCTTAACCAGTATTTCTTCAAACTGCACTGGAACAGCTATCCCACCAGATTTTCCCAGAGGCTGTGCAATCAGAGAGGGAGCAGGCATGTTCCTTGGTAGATGGCACAGGGACATGAAAGGAGATGGATCTATTATACATTTAGAAGTACAACTGTGGGAAGGTAGAGACTGCAAAGCAGCCTTCCTACCATTTACAAAGCCTGGGCATGGACTAGAGGACAATGAAGCCCAAGGAAACCCACTTACAGCCTAAGGGCTTCTAAACATGAATGGTCTTGCCGCCTGGGTTCTAACACATCTCTACTGTTCATTTTCCTCTTCCTTAGGGGAGAGGTTGATGGTGGTTTTTGAGTAAGGCCTTCCCTCCTAAGTCACCATTTTAAGATAATTATTCTAGTTAGGACTGAGGTATCACGAAACAATAGCGGTAGCTTTATTGAATAATTCAAAACAAAAGCTAACTTCCATACTCAACAGCTATAGTAAGCTAAATTTGAACTTGTATGCAGTGGGTGATGAGTTTTTAATCTCGTTACCAAGGTTCGGAGGGCAGTAAGGTCATAACTGTTATGCAACCAACAACTTTTAACTCACAAAAACTAGCTGTCAGTACGACTTCCGAATAGAACATTTAGCCAGTGAGTGTGTAAGGGATAGAACATTAAATTGGAATTTAGTCATCTTGTGTTTACTAGGTTAGGCCGGTCTTAAGCTGAGGCTGGGACAAAGAACTGACTCGGTTCCTTCTCCTTTCCTGTTGGTGTAAGGTGCCATTTCTTCATATGGGGAGGGGCTCAAATTCTGAAGACTGCCACAACAGTACAACTGAGTCTTTGACCTTGGGACAATAAGGGCTTGCTGGACCTTAGCCGTCTTCACTGGAATAGTTTGCCCGGGAATTAATTCAAGTCGCTTTCAACTCGTGTGGAGTTGCCTAAGCGGCCAAGTGACATCCTAGGGACCCGCTCAGAGCCCCGGCTTCACCCAGTCGCAGGCTGGAGCCACTTCTTCCCCAGATTCCCGGGGAATAGCTTGCCCCGGTGCACAGAAGCGAGGGAGAAACCCCTTTACAGAGCCGGGCCGGCTGTTACCCCAGCTTTCAGGAGGAGGCAGGAGGGTGCCCGCGAGTTCCAGGTCAGCCTGGGATATAGTGTGAGAACAAAGAGCTCCCCTCCCACGAGCAGCCGCCCTCTCCTAAAGCATACTTCACCACCTGCAGCCCCGGGATCCGGAAAACAAGTCGCTCGGACAGCGGCACTCCAGCGCTTTGCGGCACCAGGGTCGTAAACGCTCCGACAGCATCGCCCTTGGAGGGGCGGGGCGCCTGCCGGAAGTAAGCGGGGCTGAGGGCTCTGCGGGGATGGGGGCGGGGCGCCAGGCAGAAGTAGGAGGGGCTTGAAATAGCTTTCTTTGGTAGAGGCGGGGCGGCAGACGGAAGTGGGCGGCCTTAGGTAATAGCCGTGGTGAGGGCTGGGCTTGTGTCGGAAGTGGGATGAAGCTTGAGCAACCAGTCTACGACTAGAGCCAGACTCACACCGAAAGGTGCGACTGCGCAGGCGGACCTTCGCCGAGCGCTGGGATATGTGAGTGGGCGTGGCCTGTCGGCCTGACAACCGTGAGCGTTCTGACAGTGTCGAGTTCAGACTTTTCCCTCCGCGAAGGTCCTTCTTCTCTCATGGTAAGCCGGGAAAATAAGGGAGACGAGAAGGGGCCAGCGCGGATTTCGCTGCAGCGCTGCTGAAGGTGGACAGGCTCCCCGATTGACAGGAGGGGAGCAGGCGGACGGGCGCAGCCTCAAACCAGCTTGTGCAAACCTGAGGTGGCAGGATCCGCATCTCTCCTGTAGCTATACATGAAACTTGGTCCTTACCTAGTAACTTCTGGTGATGCACGTTCAAGGCGATGCAACCTGTCAGAAATGTTTTCAGACCAGCAGTGGATGGCTTAGTCGGCTTTGAAGTTACTTTGTGTGGTCTTTCGAAGGAACCTAAATTGTTTTGGTTCCAGGTAGTCAGTCTACACTCATTCAATATAATAAAGCTTGCCGTTTTGTTTTTCTTGTATTCCAACTCTCCCACTCTCCACCAAGAGACAGTCTGTTGTCACATTCGTTGGACTTGGAGAATGCAATTGCTAGTTCTGTAATGGACATTCAGTGTACATTCTTTAAGATTGCTGGCTGGAAGTCAGAGACAGAGTATGACAGCCCTCCTGCAGCAGGCAGATTAAGCAGAGTAACTGCCACAGCTTTACCATGGCAACAGCTGGTATATCTGGAGCAGTAAATAAGTTATCAAGGGCAGGGAAAGAAAGAGTGCTACTTTTCAACCTCTTTTAAAATATAAATATTAATTTTCTGTAAGTGGTGGGAAGAAATGGGTAGTGGAGATCTCCCCTGGCAAAACCCCAGTGGGTCTTAAGTTAAAACTGCTGGCAAATTACAAGAATATGCACTTGTTTGCTTCATGGAAACGTAGGTTTGAGTTTCTTTTTCCTAGATCTGCCTAGCACTGTTTCTCAAAGACTAACCATGCAGCCTTTACTTCCAAGCCATTTGGGGGATTTGATTAAAATGTAGATTCCAGAAAGTCATGACTTCAAATCTTCTGTCTCATGGGGTTTCCGGGGAACAAAGCACCATAAACATAGTGGATTATAGAAACTGCTTACTTCACCATTCTGGAGACTGAACGTCTGAGGTCAGAGCGTTGGCCTGAGGGAATTTATCCAGATCTCTGTACTTCGAATAGTTCCTTGGGGTGTAGCAGTGTGACCTCATTTTTTTTTCACATGATGTTTATTTTCTTTGTGAGGGTCTGTATTCAAGATTTCTCTTTGTACATGGGTACCAGCCATATTGATCCAGAGGTGCACCCAGTTCCAATATGAGGGCATCTTAATTTGGTGAAATCATCACTGACCCTTTTTCTAAGTAGGTCAAATGCTGACATACAAGAAGCTAAGATTTTAGTGTGTGAATTTGAAAAGAAATAATTCAACCCCTCAATATAAGGAATTATAAAACAGGAAGGGAAGTGACTACATACACTGTAAGTCCAGGAGTATGGATTTCTCAAAAAGCTTATCCTTCAAAAAGCAGTGACACCCTCAATGCTTAAGTTTTGAGAACAGTTTTATCCCTTGGTGGCTCTTATGTTTACATGAAGAACAAGGGTGGGACTTTTCCCAAACCAGCTTCATGTTAGAAATACTAGTGAGAGCTAAGAATGTGCCCATCCTCTTTAAGAATGGCCACTTGAGAGTAGGGCAGGGATGTTTATACAGTCTGCCACATAGTGTTTGTTTCAAGATGGAAGTGTGTTATCCAGTGTGATAGGGAATGAATAGCCAGGATAAAAGCCAGTTGTAAAAAATGACATGAAAGAAAAGCCACCATTGTTCTTCTCTCTGTAGCTCTAGCTAGACTTTAGAGTGCCTTACAGGTAAATCACCAGTAAATATCTACAGAGTGAATTTCTGAAATGTGTGAGCCTTTCAGGAAGATGTCATTTGATGTATTCTGACTTTAGCACTTGCTTGTTACAATGATGCCCTTATGGCTTGAACCAGTATTTCCTATAGCTCTTCAGATATGTAAAATGTATAACTTATACCAACACGGTCCCTTACAAATTCTTTACTAGAAAGCTGATGGACAGACAGGACTGCTCAGGAATTTACAAATAGTATTGCCGAGAAATGCTTGTAGTTGTTAATCAGTATTGAAATACTATGCTTTCCAAATTGGGTAGATCACTTTAAAACATGTGGCTGGACAGTCTTCATTTTATCATTGCTTGGCAAACTTTAAAAAACAGATTGCATCCCCATAAACACCTTTAATCTTATGTAATAGAAAGGTTCCTTTATGAGACAGCCCCCGAATTTGCAAATTTGACGTAGTACAAGTAGTAGGTAATTTGTGGGGATTGGAGACTCCTTTCAACTGGTCCTCCTTTGACTGGCGCTCATTTTGTAGGCTCTTGGGCTGATGTAAGCATTGTTGACTCTCCTTCGGAAGGATGCTTCAGGGGGACATCTTGTGGGTTTTCCTGCCGGAGCTTTCAGTTTGTTCTGGCTGCTTCTTACAGCATCTTTTCAGTTTAAAGGAACTAAAGAGTCACAGAAAAGTGGCAAAGAAGGTACAAAGGGCATCCCCTTGGGCCCTTCACCAGCTTCTCCTAATTAATGTTTTATGCCATGCTTTGTTGAAAGTATCCGAATTCTTTTTAAAATATGTCAATGCTTTTGTTTCCCAACTTTTTAGGGTCCCAAACCAAAAAAGGTATGTAGAAATTATGTTTCCAAAATAGATAGTTTTATGAATATATTGTATAAATGAACTTCTTATGGAATTTTAAAATAATTTTCTAGTTATAGTTTATAGAATTTAAGAAGCTCACCTTTTAGATAATAGTGTTACTTAAATCTGGGATAATTCTTCACAGTTACAGATGTATCTCACATTCGATGATATTTCTAGTTTGAAGAAGACACACTTTATAAATTGCCTTTAGTTCTGACCTGTGCCTGGATTTGAGGCTTCAGTTTTTATGTCCACTGTAGGATATGATGGGTTAGACCCTCCTTTCCTTATTCCAGATGACCCTAAAATGTAGTTACAGACCTACTGTGAGTGACACAGGGGCCGCAGGGCAGCACATGCTTGCCGTTTTCTGTGTTCGTTTGTACAGGGCAGAAATTGAAGTTGGCTAAAGAACACGCTACCCCATGTGTCTGGAGTATTGAGCCTGGCTAAAGGACATGCTACCCCATCGTTTGGATGTCTTTCCCCTCTTTACTTTATAGATTTCTACTTTAATGCAGAAATTTTAATCCTTAGTTACAGGCCAGATTTAGCTTATCAGTAGATTCAGGTTTACTTGAAAAACATTTTTTTTCTTTTTTTTTTTTTTAAATCACTTCTCAAGTGTGGCATAGGGTCTCACACCTGTAATCCCAGCCACAGTGGAGCTTGAAATAGGAAGGTCGTGAGTTTGAGGACAGCCTATGCCACAAAGACAAAAACAAAACAAAACAACAACTACATATGGCCAGATATTGTCCCCCAAACTAAAGTATAATAAAATGATAAAAAAAAAAAGCAGCTGCATAAAAAAAAGCAGTTGCATTTGTCCTAGTCATGAAATATCCAAACTGATCACCCTGGGCCTGAAGTCCTGTAAGCAGCAGTTTGTGGGGCTCAGCAGTGGCTGCCTTTTTCAGGAATGCAAAAAGCATCTTGATCTCATCATAGTTCCGTCTATGGTCAGAATTCTTTGTTTACCTCTCTGACCACAACAGGAGCATAGGCTTAATGCACCTGCTTTAAAGCATATCTCAGTGGTCCGTTCTCCATAAATTTTCCTACCTCTCTTCCTTGAAAACTCAGTTACATCCAACCCTCCTTGTCTGTAGGTCCTGTACTCACGCATTAAATTAAACAGGTTAAGACTCTTCTTCAGTATGTGACCAGAAGGTTGGGTGTGGTGGTGCTCTCATGTGATCCCAGTGCCAGAGGACCACAAGTTCTGATAATCTAGCATCAGCTGCACAATGAGACCTGTCTCAAAAGGGGGGGGTGGATAATGGGGGTTAGAGAGATGAGCACTTGATGCTGTTGCAGAGGACCTGAGTTTGGTTCCCAGCATCCACATGGTGGCTCTCAACTCTGTAACTCTAGTTCCAGGGGATCTGACACCCTCTTCTGGCCTCTGTGAGCACCAGGCATGCACATGATACACAGACATACATGCAGACAAACACTCATACACATATAATTTTTTAAATTAAATGTGGTAATAACATGTACTGTGTGTCTTGGAATGCTAGAAGAAACAATTTGGAATGTTTGGTGATAAAGAAATAAATATTTGGGAAATCCCATCTATAGAGAACACATGCAGATTTTCCATGGAATTATTCCTGAACAGTAAATGTAGCAGCTGCCTAGATTGGATGTGGTAGCGTGTAGGAGAAGATATACATAGGTTGCATGTAAACACTGTCTCTTTATATGTGACCTGAGTATGTGAACTTTGGCCTTCATAGAGACCTGTAACTAATATTAAGGAATGACTGTCTACTCTCTGGGTTCTCCACACATGCATTAGAATGTACCTCAGTTATAAGTCTTGGATCATGTTGTATATGTGCATGTTTGAGTGCATGAAGAAATGCCAAGACACACGTGTCAGTCAGAGAACAACTTATAGGAGTCTGCTCTCTCCTTCTACCATGTGGGGCCCAGAAATTGAACTGAGATCAGTCATCAGGCTTGGCAGCAAGTGTCTTTACCTCCTTTCAGCCAGTGAGCTATTTATGACCAGGACCATGTCTT